TTTTGCTTTTCCTTTTTGTACATATCTGTTTCTGCTTTCAAAGCATGTATTAACTAAGTAAACTGCGGTGTCTTGAGAAACAGTTCTAGGCAATTAAAAATTTTGATCTTAACAAAAGAATGGGTTTTTAGTAATTTGACTAAAGGGACTGACACTTCTTACTTCCTTTTGACTAGCAACTAAAGATCAAGCAAGGAAATTCATCATTACAAGCTGACCTGTTTTCAACTCTGAAAAGAACCAAAACATGAGGTTGATACATAGTCAATCTCTCAAGCTAGAAATGGAAAACTAATAGCCCTGAAGTCCTTGTCTTTAGATGATTTTCTCAGAATTTTTCTCAAAAATTAGAAAAATTGCACTAACCTAGTAAGGCAATAAAAGCATCAGAATGCTTAGCCATCTCTGCTTTCCTTTTATGCATATCTGCAACAGCCTTCACTTCCCCTACTGTTTCACAGGTTAACTGCAAAAGGGTACCAAAACCCAAGTAGAAAAAATATTATAAAGTTAAAATCTGGATATATATGTGTGTGTGTGTGTGTGCGCGCGCGCTTGCGTGTTGTATATATATAGAGATTTTTTTTTTTTTTTTTTTTGGAGTGTTCTGCACTTGTGCAGTGCAGCAATGATGAAGCTTGCAGGAAATGGTGGACTTAAACTAGATAGGCTCGCTGGAAAGGTGGTCCTAATCCCAAATTCTTTAAATCAGCTAACTCCAGAGCCAATGGTGCATATAATACCAGAGGGATATATATACAAAAAGAATATACAACTTAGCAAAAAGCCAAGAAGAAAAAGAACAAAGAGGGATATACTAATGGCTGAACTGACCATCCAACAAAGATGAAACCAAAAAGGAAAATATCAGAGGGAGAATTTGAAACTTAAAAATTATATAGAAGTGATAAAATGCCAGCTTACAAATGGTACAATGGATAAGGCTATCAAGTACCACACACACACACAATAAAATAAGGGGAAAAAAAAATTACATAATTTTAAGAACCCCCTCCTCCACACACACACACACACACTCATTTCAACCCACAATATATACACATATGAGAGGGAGAGAGACAGTAGTAAAGAAGCAGTATACATACATACATACAGATAATTTTTTGTATATTAACACCATAAGCTATATGTTAAATGGAAGTACTAATATATATAAAAAAAAAAAAAAAATAGCTAGATATAATCATATAAAGAAAGAAAAGGAAGGAAGATAAGGATGTAACAGGACTAAACTCTGTCCATAGAATTAGAAAAGTGATTAAAAATAGTACTAGTAGATTAGTGGGTTTTTTATTAATTAATTAATCTTATGAGGAAAGGTTCAAGACTTTTTTGGTGTATAGCAGACATACCACTCGAGGCACGAGCGTCTTTGGAATCACTCTGCAAGAGAGACAATAAGATGACAAAAATTAGTTGTGCAGTTGAAAAACCAACTATTTCTTAGTCACTTTGTTTGTTTTCTAATTTATTTGAGAGTTTTGAGGATACAATGGAAGGAAAAGTGAAGGAGAAGGAAGCTCACCCAATAACATGCCGATCACCATTATGAACAGCTTGTGAAACCAACCCCATTAGGCCTATGCTACCACTAACATCTTCTGTATACTGCATATAAGAGAGCGAGAGAAGGTCAATTTTGTGAGCAACACGTGTACTTATGACCTGAAATGGGTAACACAAATTAACAACACCAAAAGCAGTACCTAATAAAGCTATGGCATTTAACGTGCGTGTGTGTGTGTTGTGTGTGTGTGTGTGTGTGTGTGTGTGTGGGGGGGGGGGGGGGGGGGGGGGGGGGGAGTTTGAAAGGGAATTGCTGCAAACTAAGAGCAGGACTCACCTCCTTATCTTTAACTGTGAGAGCATGAAGATCAATGCAAATTTGAGAGGCATTTAGTGTGAACAATGACACAGCTAAAGTTGCACTTTTCTTTTTCACACAAACCACGTCTTCACGTCTGACTTCTTCCACCTACACAATTCCAATAAAAAATAACCATTCATAAGAAATGGTTAACATAAGAAGAATCTATTCGTGTGGTTCAGAGGAATTTATAGAAAACAACTTTATCTAAAAGAGCCTAACATTCATTTGTAAAAGAGATTCAACCCGGGTTTCTAATGATTCTGGGGAATCCACTATTGAACTAGTGCCCGACAACGATGAAGTATTAGTGTGGGCTGGGATTTCTTTCCAAAAAAGGGGAATATCAGATAACCAAACTTCAGCCCTAAGAGTTGACCCCCCGTTCTAGTAGAGTGTCAGGCAGGCGTAACATTTAGAGAATCGTTTTTCTCCTTTTTTTTGCTATACCTTTCCTCTGGTCGATCAGATCTGTATTTTGGTATTAGAGGGGTCTCTCGAGACCTAGAAAGATATACTAAGTATTCAATATGCTGAGAAAAGAACAAGTTTGGGGCGGGTTTCAAAGTTAAACTGCCTTTCATTAGCAGCAATCTCCATTACACAACAATATTAGTTTTCTAATTTTAGATGCAACCAATTAGTTTATCTAGTGTCAATATACATTTGAAGCGAGCACCATTAAGTAACAGTATGAGTTTTTAATTTTTCATGCTACAAGTTAGTTTATTAAGTGTCAATACAAAAACAAGAAATATTCATTACGCACAATTGAAACACTACTATACTAATATAGATAATGAATCGGAATAATACGTGATGATGAGGATACCTGACTGGTTTATTTTGACAAGTGTGGTACAGCAATTTATGGATTGATTCATAATGAAACACACTGAATGCAGAAAACATGCCTTTTCCAAAACAACAAAAGTCTGATTTTTCCTGTGAACCAAATAATAAAAAATAAAAAAGTTAGTGAGACATATCCTGAATCACTTTTTCCTGAAACGTCAAAATAGCCCCAAACCAGATCAACAAAAGAATACAACAATTTGGCTAATATGGGTTATTCTTTTCCATTATCTACAAAAACCAAGATGGCATCAAATAAGTTTCGATCTGTTGTTCCTACTTTGTTCCCCTTCGTTTTCGCAGCAGCCAAAAAGCGAGAATGGGAGGCTTAGTGGATATCAGCAAAATAGCTTTCAAATTCAAAACTGTTAACTCTGGTATAGGAATTTTTCAACATATAACTCCTAGTATAATATATCAATTTGGTTAAACCCGTAACGCCAGTGACTTCCAACTCCTGTATATGCTCAAGGTGATGTATTTTAAAGGATTCTGACACTCCCAAAGATGTTAAGGCATCATCCTATTTTCAAAAATCCCGTTAAATTGTCAAATATTAAAATTAAGAAAACTGCTGCCAATAATAAAGGATAACTGACTGACTGGGCCAAAATTACAATTCCTTTGGTGGCAAACCTGCATAACCTCTCCGTGGAAAACTACATAATTACCAAATGACTGGCCTCAAGAAGATTAAACTTGTTTTCTAGTACAAGTAGCAAAGGAGTTCGCTATTACTTTTCACACCGTCCAACAGTTACTGACGTTTTTGCTTCAGTTCAATACAAAGTGACTGCATTATGAACTTAATTCACCCCTATGCTCAAGTCTAAGAATCAACAAAAAAAAAAAAAAAAAAGTGCTCTTCATGCCCCTTTAAATAAATAAATGAATAATGAATAGAAAAAGTGTCCTAATTTTCTTTGTTTAAGCATTTCGTAGCATCCTTGACAGGAGGGTGGGGGGAAGGACATGCAACACTCTTTGCTAATAATTACATACCCTTCAGTTCAATACAAAGTGACTGCATTATGAACTTAACTCACCCCTATGCTTAAGTCTAGGAATCAACACAAAAAAAAAAAAAAAAATGGGTGCACTTAATGCCCCTTTAAATAAAAAATGAATAGAACAAGTGTCTCAAATTATCTTTGCTTAAGCATTTTGTAGCATCCTTGACAAGGAAAGAGAGGGAGGGGGGTGGAATGACATTCAACACTCTTTGCTAATAATTACATACCAGATGATACTGATAAACGAGCCAATAATAAAATATTTAAGCAAACATAAAGTTTAGCTGATTACAGATTTACTTACTTGCTCTGAATCAAGGATCAGCACAGCAGTTTCTAGATCGACCACCACATCAAGACCTTCCATAAATATATATATATATATACACACAGTCAAAATTGTGAAAACAAATGATTACCATAAAAATGAACATATTGACCAAGAACCAAAGAAGAAAATTGATTCACAAGGACATGATAATAGCAAAGTTATAAAGTGAAAACTCATATCTTGAGTAGGTTTTTTTTTTTTTTTTAACCTGCCGAAGGTTAGAGGGTTAGTAGTTAGGGGGAGGGGGAAACGAACTCAAGACCGTAGGGAGGGAAGCACCTTAAGTGCTCGGCCCTTTCCACTCGGGCAGCACCACCATGCCTGTTAAGATTAGTCATTATGCAGCATGTGGGTTCCTTTTAAGTTTATTCATTAATTTAAGTAAGGATACTGGAATTGTTCAACAACTAGGAGAGACAATTAATTTGCTCTAGCAATGATCAAAACTAGGAGAGACAATTAACAACTAGGACAGACAATTAGTTTATCCACTAACTAACCATCGGCTTCTTGGGGATTTTCTTCCTCCCTTTGGTATTCTTCTTGGCATGTGGATGTTTGACCTGGAAAATTTCGTCCTAACGATTTTGTTTGACGAGATTTTTTACTCTCAGGACCTTGTTGTATTTGTGGCCCTTTGGGTGGGAAAGTTGGCAGATTTTTGGAAAATAGTATAGGTTCTATCTCCCATGGGTTTACATATTCTTCTTCCCGAACGGGGTCATCCCATGTCACCTGCACATTCAGTCAATTGAAGATAAATTAATCTGAGTACAATACGAAGACCAAAGGTATACTAGAGCCAAAACAAACAGGATTAAATTAAAATACCTTGACAGAATTCCAATGTCTCGTCGAGAAATAGGAGGACACAGTACCTCTAAACCACATTATTCCTCTTGAGTCTTCTGTTTCACTTCTGGAATTTCATATTGGGCTGCCACTGAAATCGCATTGCCTTGCGCACAACTGACATGTCAACAAAGAATTGAGGACTTGAAGCCCTTGGATAATACCTTACCACAAAAGGATCCCCTCTTGTTGCATTTAACATTACTCGAGTAGTAGGTGCAGCCCTCTCATACCTCCAAACTTTCTTTGCAATCCCTATAAAGGGATCAGCATCTTTTACCTTCATGAAAACGTGTACATCTCCTGCAACAAGCTTCTTGAGAGCCACGTACATTTTCCATCCTTGAGATAGAATATTCACCCTTCTGTTTAACATCTGCATATGCTGAAACCACCAGATAGTCCCATGGATGTCTTTAGCGCTGATCACTTGAGATCCATGATTATACGGTGAATTTATTCTAGGAAAAATATTTTCCACACAGTCATCTAGGACACTGAGGCTATCGGAAATGTCAGAAGATGTTAACACTCTCACAGACAAAGGTCCTTCTTGGACATGAGCAGCATTGATGTTTGTATTTTCCACTTCTGACTCATCGCACCTAACCAATTCAAGTGCTGCATACACTTCATCAGTGACGGAATTTGCATGGAATCGCACAGCTAACACTCGACAACAAATCATAGTTGGAACTCCTTCAATCGCCCGATCTAGAGCACAAACGTGCTCGGCGTGCCCTTGAGGGTAATAAAAAACTTTTGATCCGACTGAGGGCACCTGCGCCATCCTCCCGGCACAGGCAAACCATTCTTGGGGATTTACCACAGGTTCTGTCATTATGTCTACCTGAAATACATAATTCAGTTCACCAGGAACAATCAATCCATTTCAACGAATAATGCAATTTTAATTTATTAAGTCCTGCTACTTTTTGATCAATTCCGAAGATTTAATGGTTCATCTAAATGAACAGTATAGAAACCTAAGTTGAACTCATGCATTTGTCCAAGGCTCTCATCACAGAAGCAAATGTTCAATCAAGAAAGCAATACTTTCAGAACAATCAAATTCATTCTAACGAGTAGTGCAATTTTAATTTATAATAAAATCCTGTTAGTTTCCAGGATTAGTTGAACAGTTCCAAAGAATTAAGATACGCAATGTAAAAGATAGAAACACTAAAAAATTGATCAAATCCATCCATTTTAACAAGGTAATGCAAGTTTAATTCATAAATTCCTGACAGGAACAGTTCCGATGAGGTAAGCTATAACATTAAAACCCTAAATGATAAAAATCAATGTCTCACACACACAGGGGGAGAGAACATTGATTCGTGTACTGTGTGCTTCAACTGCTTAAGAATTTATCAATCGCGACTTAAATGTGTATGCGTGTGTAGGTATGCGAATCATTAAATGGTTAGGGGATAAAATTAAAACCCTAAATATTCGATGAAAAAAACAAAGATTACACAAATTTTCACGCACACACAGATGGAGGGAGAACAACCTCGATTTTGTCTACAGTGCCCTTCAGATTTCACTGTCGCACCAACTCTCTGCGTCTGTGTATATATGCGAAGCATGATTAGCGATAAAATCAAAACCCTAAATATTCGATGAACAAGAGAAAGATTACACGAATCAATTTCACACGAACAACACACACAGGGAGGGAGGGAGAACCCCGATTTTGTCCACTGCGTCAGATTTCTCTGTTGCTTCAACTGCTTGAGAATTTTATCAATGGTGTCTGCGTGTATACGACCATAAATGGTTGGCGTCCTTTTTAAATTTCAAGCTACTTGAGATATTTTGGAGGCGGGATTTTTTTTTTTCTCTTTTGTATTTTAAAAACCCAGAGAAATTTTTTTCGTGCTTGGTGCGTAATATAGTTCCATGGTTGGATGAACAATTAAAGGCTGAATTCAAATCTCTCCCTTACATGGGTTGTGGGGCCATTCCATGTACCACCCAAAAATATATAATAATAATGATAATAAATAAATAGTCTACGGGGTTTTGAGACAGGTAGATAAGAATTTGGCCTGTTCAGGTCTAACATTAGACCATTTTGGTGCAAATAATTTATTGAGAATTCAACTCTTTAGTACAAACGGGGTTTTGACACAGGTAGATAAGAATTTGGCCTGTTCAGGTCTAACATTAGACCATTTTGGTGCAAATAATTTATTGAGAATTCAACTCTTTAGTACAAACAATTCCTTGAAAGGAGATGTGAGTATCAATTAAAAAAAAAACAAACAAACAAAAAAAACACACTGATAGGACTATGATAAGGATCTGTGTATATAAATAATAATTATGCATAAAATCATAAATTGCAACTTATAACTAATATTGGTTATTTTAGTTTTCTAAAATTTTATTTTACTTTTTCAATTAACCTGTATATTTTAAATTACATTAAATTTCATTCATCTACAAAAAATACTTACAGTAGTATCTTAATAATGTCCCAAAGTGTAATAACCCAAACTCGGAAGTCCGAATCGCTAACCGGGTCCTAACCTGATCCAGGACACCCAAGGGTAAAATAGTCATTTTACCCCAGCTATGCAATATGAGTCGCAACGAGGTCACATTGGTCATTTCTAGCCACTTTGGATCAAATGAAGAGCTTAACTCTAAGTTCGAGGGCTTCATGGTTGATAAGGGTAAAATTGTCAATTCAAGTCATAATTGTGGGATGGGACATGCACCATTAGAAAGACGGTTAAAAACCATGCAACTTAGACTCAAGAACAACCCCATTTGGTTAAGAAACGAGAGAGATATGATGTACCAAAGTTCGGGTTTGAGAATACCAGAAAGAGGCAAAATTTGGCTAAGTCTGGGAGCGACGACCAATAGTAGCTTTTGGCTACCGGTCGTCCAACACCCTGGACACCTCCACGCGCGCAAGATGAGTACCCCGACGCGTAACATGACAAGCTACGACCAGTCGTAGGTTCTGGCTACCGATCGTAGATTCACGAACTCTCTGATGAACAATAACTTATGCTCCAAAAATGAATTTTTTTGCCCCTATTGACTTGGTTCACCTTCCCCGACATAAACTTGGTCAATTTGACCATTATAACCCTGTCCCAACTCACAGAAATGTGCAATCATGCAATCAAAACCATCATAAACCAAGCATTGAATCTAAATAATTCTTTAAACATCATGACATCTCAAAGCTTGCACCATTTATAAAGTATGAACATGGTAATTATTTTCATCATTTACATGCCCAAAATATGGCATAGATACCCCAAATGAATTAGATTATAAGTTTGAGACCTTATGGTTTTAAATATAATGCTCCTTCCAAAATAAACAAAGCATAGTCATTTTACAAAATTTATCATAATAGCTAAACATAGGTTAGAAAAATATCAAAGGTGATTCCGTCAACTTCAACTACACTCGTGGAGGTCCATCATTAACCATGTCTTTACCATGGCATGGAAAATGTTAATGGAGGGGGTGAGCATGGATGTTTAGTAGAAGATACCTAAGGCACTAATTTTGGACTCCCTTGAGCCACACAACACACATTAAGGTTTAAAAGAAACCGGGATCATACATTAGGGAAATTTATAGCATTTAAATCACAAGTCAATCTCATCAATAGCATTTACACAACTCATCATAATTGCACACAAAAATATAATGCATAACCGTTCCCAAACTTGATCTCTATTGACCCTAACTAATATCGAAAACTGCTAACCGAGGCGAGATTGATTAGACATCCCTGACCTCTAAACCGACGAACCTAGCAATCAACATTACGTGTCCTATAACTGGCACGCGCTCCATCTAGGTCAACGTTAGCACTGGACTCGCGAAATCCAGTTCTTTGTATAAAAATCTATCAAATGCCTTTTCTCATTATCCATTTCCCGCCATGCCATGCACATGAATCAAATTCATCATTTTCACTTCATTTTCATTTATACGACAATAGTGGCATTCTCTAGAAAATGAACACAACATGGCATTATTTAAAATACAAATTCCAAACATTGCATTTTCCATAATTCAATCAGAAGCATGACATTTAAAAAAAAAAACCAACTACAAGCATGCACAATATAGAACTTCACACTATCCCCAAATCATGCTAGAATTCATATTCCAAGTAATTATTCTCTAAAACAATATCATACATGCTTTTAGCATAAAAAGGAACATAACTTCACATCATTTAATAGCATGTTTTCATCATATTATGTAGGGGTGGCAAAGTTCGACACGACCCGCCAACACGACACGTACACGATACGAGTTAAATGGGTAATGGGTTTACCATAAACGGGTTCGTGTCGTAAACGGGTTGACACGAATAACCCGTTTAGTTAAACGTGTTGTGTTCGGGTTTATGTGGCTCAACCCGTTTAATTAAATGTGTCACCCGTCTAACCCGTTACCTATTTTGACCTGATTATTAGGGACATTTTGGTCATTTTATTATTACACAAGAAACCCTATTAAGGCTGTTATACAAAATATATCAACAAATTCAACACCAGTCGGTCCAGTCTCCAGACAACTCTTCCTTCACTCTTCCGTCTCTCTCTCAGACCTCTCGGTCGACGGTCTCTCCTCTTCCCTCTCTCAAATCCACGCCACACCAGCACACCTCGAGCGACCAAGAAGTTCAAGAACACTACAATCTACACTTCGAGCGAACCAACGAAGAACACAAACCTTGAACAATCGAAGTAAGTTGTCTACTTTTATTTAATTTTTTTGTCTTCTCTCTTTCAGATCTACTCTGAAACAACAAGAGGTCGATTTTTTTTTGTTTTTCCTCTTTCAGATCTACTTGAAAACAAGTTTTCTTTAATTTTTTTTTTTTCAGATCTACTTTTAAACATGTAATTATTTGTTATTGTTTATAGTAATGATTCTATTCTATTTATAGTTTTATGCTCTGATACTGATTTTTACTCTTCTATATTAATTTCACTTAAATGTTTCGGTAATTGCCTAGTTACAGCATCAAGGTTGGAACTCATTGTTTATCTGGACATTGAAAATTTATAGTTTTATGTTTCTGTTTACGAAATGGGTTTGTTGTTCAATTGAAGCTTCTTTATCTGGCTGTTGGGATAAATCAATTCGTTATAGGCTCGTTCCCTTGAAGCGATAATAATTTCAAACATGCAGTATAATTTTCATCTGCGTTGCTACATGTTTTTAGCTTCAGCTCTGAAAGGTTGAGAAATTTCTCTGCAAATGTTGGTACCAATTTTAAATTTACTTTCTCGTTAATATGATAATTATACCTGAAGTAAGTCGTGTTAATTTACAGTAGTTTGTATACACAGTAGTTTGTATAGTTTGTATATATGTGTTTATATTTGTGGCCGATGATGACTCCATAGACCTGTACCGACTGTGGCGATTTACTTAGCAAATATGCCTGGATAATTAAAAAGCCAAGAATAGCTATCAATTTTTATAGCTTTCTGACATGTACAGCTTTCTTTAGTACTCTTTTTTTCTTTCGATTTAGTTGAGCGTTTGTTGGACTTTAAAAGTTAATGATACCACTTTCTTCCTCTTCTTCTTGTGGTTTTGTTTTCATTTTAGTACATTTGTACTATGTTTTTTGGTCCATATTTGTTTTATTCAATTGTATTTTTAGAAAGGCTGAAACTTTTACGACATATGGGATATGGGAAAGGAAAAAAATAAAATAAAATAAAGAAGAGGATAATATCATAATAGTATGCCAATATGGTATGATCTAGTATTTTACGGTATATATCACGAATTTTTTTATTTTATTTTTTATTATTGTTTTGAATCCAACTGGTTGTGTTGATTAATTAGAAATGCAAGTGTAGGAGTATTTATTGTTTGCAACTGCAACAACACAATGAATACTGTACTGCTACCATTTAATGGATCCTTTTTAGAAATCTAAGAATAAACATTTCTACTTGCTGACAAAAATCTCTTTAATCTTTTTTATTAAATTCTTTTATGGGCATTAATTTGTGAGGAATGAAATTCCCTCTATATAGATGGACTTTGAATTGAAATAATACGATTTCGCCATAAAAATGTTATCAGCAATGCAATAATACTAGTTTCTTTCCCTTTGCATATATGTGAAAAATCAGCATTCCCATACTATTTTACTACTACGCTCTCTACGTACTATAACAAATCATTATTATATATGTCCTCTTTATTAATTATTATATATGTTTGATTTATTTATTTATTTATTTATTTTTGGTAATATTTAGATGGATTCTGCCATGAGACTTGACGAAAGTGGATCAGAAGATGATCTTGATTTAATCGACCTTGAAGTGGATCAGAATGAAAATGCAGATGTGCAAGTGCAACCGAAAAAGAAACAGGACACGAAGCGCAAAAGAAAACTCACATCAAAAGTTTGGTTGCACTATGATATACTTCCACCCGGCAAAGACAAGAAAAGAAGATGCAGATGTAAGAAGTATGGGACTGAGTATATTGCGGAGGGCAGGTATGGCACTGGTAATTTAAAGAGGCATATAGATTCGTGTGTTAGGAGGGATATACGGGACATAGGTCAGTTGCTTTTATCTCAATCATCTGGATCCATATTTATGCATGCTTCTAAGTTTGATTTTAATAAATTTCGTGAGTTACTGAGTGCTGCTATCATTATGCATGATCTGCCATTTCAATTTGTTGAATATGAGGGCATTAGAAATATGTGTTGTTATTTAAATGAGGAGGCTCAGCCCGTAAGTAGGAACACAACCAAGGCTGACATATTAAGGATGTATAAAAATGAAAAGGGTAGGCTTCGACATATGTTGGAATCAACAAATGGTAGGATTTCTCTAACATCTGATTTGTGGTCTTCTCTGACTACTGATGGGTACTTATCTCTTACTGCACATTTTATTGATATGGATTGGCGCTTACAAAAAAGAGTTTTGAACTTCTCTTACATGCCATCACCACACAATGGTGTTGCTTTGACAGAAAAGATTTATACATTGCTAACTGAATGGGGGATTGAAAAGAAACTATTTTCAATTACTCTAGACAATGCTTCTTCAAACTGTTCATTTGTTGAATTGTTGAAGTCTCAACTCAATTTGAATAATGCTTTATTAAGTGGTGGGGAGTTTTTTCACATTCGTTGTTGTGCACATATCTTAAATTTGATAGTGCAAGAGGGGTTAAAAGAGGTTGATGAATCTATCATAAAGATTCGTGAGAGTGTTAAATATGTCAAAGGTTCTCAAATGAGGAAACAAAAATTCTTGGAATGTGTCTCTCATGTTTCCTTAGAATGTAAAAGAGGGTTAAGGCAAGATGTTCCTACAAGATGGAATGCGACATAACTCATGCTTGAGTCTGCCATTTATTATCGTTGGGCTTTTTGTCATTTGCAGTTGAGTGATTCAAATTACAAGTTCTGCCCATCTCAAGAGGAGTGGAGTAGGATAGAAAAGATTTACAAGTTCTTGACTGTTTTTTATGATGTTACAAACATCTTTTCTGGATCTAAGTATCCCACGGCAAACTTGTATTTTCCATCTGTGTTTTCGGTTCAATTAACGTTGCGAGAGGAAATGGACAGTAAGGATCAGTTTATGAGCAAGATGGCAATTCAAATGTATTCAAAGTTTGCAAAGTATTGGTCTGATTATAGCATGATCCTTGTTATTGCTGTGATTTTAGATCCTAGATACAAGCTTGGGTTTGTTATTTTTAGCTATAACAAGCTTAATGGTGATAACAACATTGAGAGCACACTAGTTCGTGATGCATTATTTAACCTTTTTGATCAATATTTGTTGAATTCTCCTATGGCTTGTACCACCAAATCCACATCTTTACCAAATGATGAAAGTGGGAACCGGCAAGTTGATGAGGGACAGTTAACTAAAAAGTTCATTGATGTTATGAAAGTGAATAATACTTTTGTGAGATATTAAATTCATTTAATGCCTATTTTATTCATTACATCTATTTATTTTTTTTACTTTTATCATTGATTAATCTATTTGTTTTTCTTAATTATTGTAATGTAGGAATTTGACTCATTTGAGAATGATAAATTGCTTGGAAATGCCCAAAAATCAGAGTTGGAACTCTATTTAGATGAACCAAAAATCAATAGAAATGCGAACCTTGACGTGCTTGCCTATTGGAAAGCCAATCAGTTTAGGTATCCAGTGTTTGCTCAAATGGCTCGTGATATATTGAGCATTCCAATCACTACAGTTGCTTCTGAGTCTGCGTTTAGTGTTGGTGGTCGGGTTCTTGATCAATATCGTAGTGCGCTTAAACCAGAAAATATGGAGGCTTTGGTATGCACGAGGGATTGGCTTTTTGGTTTGAAAGGTAAATAACTTATAATAAATTTCAAATTATATTTTTATTATTGCAGAAAATAGTGAAGTAATAAATTTTTTGTGTATGTTTTACTATAGATACAATGGAGCTTCAAGTGGATGACTTGATTGATAATGTGATGAAACTTAATATCAACAATGATGACCCTGCTGAAGGCCAATGTTCCACCAGTGTTAGCGTGACCGAACATTAAAATCTAGCTAGGTAAAAAAGCCCTCTACATTTGTTTTATTTTTCACATAATTTGTTATATGCATTCTTTTATATTTCAATCTGTTTTTTTTATTATTATTATTATCTAAACTTATTTTACACTTACCTATTTTGTAGGAATTTCTACTTTTGGGTGTTTCAGAAAAGAGTGCATGCAAATTCCAGAAGGAAGTTTTTGAGTTGTGGATCTTTGGCTTTTAAGAAGATTGCATGTTACTTGACATTTCTATTAAATATTTTTATTTCGGTCTGTAATAACTTATGACTTATCTTTATTTCGGTGGTCCGTAACTTATGACTTGTGACTTAATCTTTATCTTTGGCTTTTAATCTCTCTTTTAGATGTTTGCTAGTATTTTAATCTTTGGCCACTTTAAACAGGTTAAACGGTAAACAGGTTAAACGGGTTAAACAAGTTAAACAGGTTAAACGAGTTAAACAAGTTAAACGGTAAACATGGTAAACAGGTCGTTAAACAGGTCGTGTTTGGTGTGTCTAACACGACACGTTTATTAAACGGGTTACACGTGTCGTGTCGTGTTACCCGTTTAATAAACGTGTCGTGTTCGGGTTTAGGATATGTGACACGATTATTAATCGTGTCGTGTTCGGGTTGACCTGTTTAGTGTTATACCCCTACTTCGACACGACACGATTATGACACGCGAACCCGAATTGCCACCCCTAATATTATGTGACACCCATCGGATCCGAGACACGGGTTGATCAAGTCCGACCCGAGTCCGAGGGATATCAAACAATTAAAGTATTTTAAATCGAACACGGAATACAAAATGAATTAAGAAATGAAATTAAAGCTGAAATGAACTAAAAATAGAATCCGTAAAAATATTATAATTATTAAAATCCATCAAACCCAAACTCCAAAACTCCATCAGTTTACAACTTGGGAATCCATCTCTAGTGGACCCCTATTAAACATCCAAACGGAAGATAACACAACTGTAAAAAAAAAACATCCAGAAATAAAACTATGGAGAGAGCCCTACATCGTCGGAAGAGGGAATAGAGACCTCTGCTCAGCATGAACACGTCTAAGCCTGGAACTGTCGTGTACCTGAAAAATAGAAGTGGGTCAGGCCCACGCGCAAGTTCTATCCTACTACAATCCAAGCAGAGACTTGATACGCATGTACATTCTAACCAACTTAACAATAGCTAATAGTCCGTATGTATATATATATATAATCACACTAAAGGACTCTCACTGGACTACAGGCCGGTCTCAACCTGAATAGAGGCAACATGCAAAACGCACACAAAGTGGGCATGTGTACCTAAGCCTAACAGGGTACACCTCCAACCATCATAGCCAGCTATGCATCCCAATGCATATACGCTCCCTAACCGTCGATCCTGAGACTCAAGCTCATATCGAGGTACCATAAAAATATATTTAAAATCCATCCAGAATCCATAGTAGTGCCGCTCAACTATATGTTGCCTTGACACTACAAATCCATAGGATTTAACCTTTAGTCAATCCATTTCCTTAATCCCAGAATAGGTAGGACTTAGCGGTTTTTGAGCTAGTCCCCCTTGTATGCCACCGTCCCATACCGGTGCATACATTTCATCCATCCAGTAGTTGATAACACAGACCATGCATGTAAATATCAACTGATCCATAAATCCAACAATTTAAAATCAAAATATTAAACTAGACATTCAATTGTTCCATAAAGAGCATACAAAAATTATGTAATTTAATATGCTGCTTTTAAACTACGTAACCATAATCCAGCAATTGGCAATACAACCGTATATGTAATTATCAATTATTCCAGAATCCATATAATTGAGAGAACATGAATAAATGTCTACCTCAATTAATTCCATAGCAAGTATAATAAACATTGACAAATTATCATGCTTATATCACCAGTCCAACAATTGATGCGATAAATGCTGAAATTTAAACATCAATTACTCCTTAACAAGCATAATAAAAATACATAGATTTTAACAATGCTTATTTTATACCATTAATACATGATTAGAATTTGATAATCATTTACAGAAAGTTTCTACAACAAATTAAGCAACTTAAACCACTTGCTTTCCCTAACAGTTTACAACTTTGTTTAGAACTGATTATTGTTCAACCTATAAACCCCAAGTGGTTCATTAACCATTCCCACACCCTCTGGAGCTTTAATATAACCTTAAAACTCATTAAGGTTCCCATGTACAGTCCCTGAATGTCCCATACAGATCAAAAATTCAGCCCAGAAGCAAAATTCGTCAAAAATTACATCAAAAGGGGAAGAAGCCGCCTCCCCCACATGGGGAGCCGCCTCCCCCTTGTGTGGAGCCGCCTCCACACACCCTAGAGCCGGCTCCACCTTGTGTGGAGCCGCCTCTTCCTCCTGTTCCCCTCTCTGCTTGCGTTCCTTCTTCAGTTTCATCTCCGGTGACCCCCAGTTTGATTTGTCCCTTAACTCTAAAGGTTTCTCTTGACTAAAACTAGGTTTCCAATGCTCCAGATAATTTAAAATTCCTTAATCTTCAATCCACTTGAATCAGAATAGGAAATAAGCAAAGATGAGTTATAACAAGAAATTTTAAAGCATGTAAACACATGCAGTTCCAAACGAACCTACCATACAAACCAGATCTTTATTATTCCCAGTGTGTTACAGACTAATTCAACTCTGTTCACATTAATTTACATGAAATAATTCAGGAGTTACGCAAGAAAGAATCCGAAAAACCCAATACGTAACATGTAACCACAACCAGTTTTGTTTTTCATTCAGACAAGCCATCTGGTTTAATATTAATCTTTATTAGTCCTGGAGTTGCATTAAACATGTAAAGAACACAAGTCCAAGGGAGAGAGTTAGGAATAGAACTTGCCTTTTGCCTTTAGCCTTGCACAGTCGTCTTCCTACGTTCTCCGGCAACGTCCTACTGAAATCCTCCTCTGTACTCTCTCTGCCTCCACTGTCGTGAATAGTTTTTTTTTTCTAAAACCCTAAGCAGACTTAATACTTATATTTATAGGTTTATGCAGAACCTAAAATCAAGCCAAACCCTACAATGATTCCTAACCGTCCCATAGAGAATCCTAATTAAAATCTACGTCGGCTACCAAGACTTAACTTCTAAAACAAAACCCTAAATTAATCCAATTAAGCATTTAAAAGAATTAAAATACCAAAAATACAATTAACTAAATAATTAAATAAACTAACATACAATTAACTAAATAACAAGCAAATAAACCAATAATTTCAAATAACTTCAAACATTCAAATACACAAGCAAAATAAACAATTCTATCAGGTAATTAAATCAAATAATACAATTTAAAGAAAATTAAAGCCAAATAAATAATTAAAACAATTAACTCAAATAATCACAATTAATGTAAATAAACCAAATAATTAATTCAAATAATACAAATAAGTCAAGTAAGTCAAATAATTAAAAAAAAATCAATTAAAACATAAATTAAATACCAGGACTATCCTTTTGAAATTAGGGGTATTACATATTAACCCATAGTCATTTTAATTCACATTTTTCACATCCAAGAATGAACTTAAGAGAAATCAAACAAAGATGTTCAATGAAAGGCAAAGTGTAATGTCGTGGATTTTTTAGGACTTTTCGTTATTTTATTTTATTAATTATCTCCGTGCACCGTTTTACGCGTCATATGGGACTTGATATATTTTTATTACATCATTATTTATTTTGGGTCATTGAGGTGTTATATATATATATATATATATATATATATATATATATATATATATGTGTGTGTGTGTGGATGAGTTAGTAGGAGGATATATTTTATTGGATATGTGTGGGTTTGTTTTAAAAGAGAAAGGTTAATTTGGTAACTTGTTAGGTCAAATAGGAAGACCAAATATGAGGCACACATTTTGTGAGGCCAAGAGTGGGCCTTTGACCACACACCATTACCTCGCCATCACCCACACTCTCCCCTTTATTCATCACTTTCTCTTTTTCTCCTCTATCTTCTTTTCTTCTTTCTCTCTCTATATTTCTCCTCATTCTCTCTAAGATTTCACCATGTTAAAGAATGATTTATAAGGATCCATGGTTAGAGAAGTTGTAGATTGTAATGTTTCTAATTTTTTTCATTTTTCATTTTCTAAATTTTTTTATTTTTCGAGTGTATTTTTGTCTTTTTTGTTTTGCGTGCCAGATACCGTGGGGTGTGCCGAGTGTGTCGGAGAGTTGGTTGAAGCATTTCCTTGAGTTTGGGACTCTTAGGAATGTAATGGTTGTCATTTCGGCATTTTTCCCATTTTTCGGACAGGGAAGTCCTTGGTGGGACCCGTGGTCGGAGTTGTTGAGTACGGGAATTTTACTTTGGGGTCTATTACATTTTATGCATATTTATTTGATGCATTTTTATGTGGTTGCATGTTTTTATGTGGTGGTATTGTGTTAGTTTAAGTATAGAAAAGATGAAATATTTGTTCTCCTCATTCTCTCTAAGATTTCACTATATTAGAGAATGATTTATAAGTATTGCTCTTAGCCCATTTACCTTTCTGAAATTCACAAATTCCTTCTCTCTCTACACAAACTTTTTCTTTTTCTAAAATCGCACACTTTAAGCTCCAAATTCATAACCCTTCACTTAGATTTCAGCTTTGCCATTGAAGGCAAAGTTGACAAGCTTGATGAGGCGTACGTTTTGATCGAAATTGATCATTGTTGATGCGAAAATCCTCGCGACTTGGAACGACGGCGTTTACCTGCAAAACAAAGGGACGTCACCTTGAATGGCATCGGTGGGGTGCCAGCCAAGGACCCTCTGACGATCAAATTATTACTTGTAATCGTATCACATAATAATTATGTAATATTCTCTTTAGGTATTTTTTCTCGTACCTTCTTTAATGGCTTGGTGCCCTATTTATGGCTATCGATTGGAATCAAATTTGTTCCACTAATATCGATGGTTGACCTTATATTCCGCTTGTACGAGATCGTAGGAGATTTGTTACCAGATTTGTAGGGATATGATTTATTCCAAGGTTATCCTTACCCTGTTGAACCACATCCTCTTTCATTATCCTGGATCATTCTTATCCAATGGAAACCTTTATTTTTTATAACGAAAAATTATCGTTCAAAAGTAGAGTAGGTCTGGCGGCTGGTTAACACTTAATTGCCTTTTATCGTTAGGTCAAGGTAGGTTTATTTTTCCTAATCAGTTGCCTCCCATTCCCAAGCTTGCTCATCTAGCTTTGGAAATGTAATAATAATAATAATAATAATAATAATAATAATAATAATATATATTTTTTTGACATATGAACCGTAGAAGTAGAATATATATATATATTTTTTTCTTTTCTTCGAACAGTACCCGCGGGTACTA